GGGGTCAGGGCCCTCTGATGTGCTCAAGCTGAATGCTTGGAGGGGACGGGGATAGGTGGGTCTCAGACAGAATGGAATCCAGTGCTGGTAGCAGACTGGACCAGACAACTAGAGAGGATAGGGTCTCCCACGTGGGGCCCTTGAAAGTCTTCACGGTTCCCTGGGCAGGGTGACAGGTAGTTCAATGTGTCACAAAAGACACAGACCCACGCTCTGCCACTGCTACTCTCTGTCCGTGGGACTGGGTGCGTGGTCACACTCCCGTGAGCCTCATTCTGCTCACCTGGAAAGGTGGCAACCAGGGCAGGCAGCATGGTGGGAACCGGCTGGGACTCACAGGGAACGGGGCCAGGCTTGGCTCACAAGGGGAGAATGACTACAAATGTTAGGTCAGCTCTATGGGACCCTGGCCTTTAGAGCCCAGGACCTTGGGGAAAGGTTTCGGGGTCCTGTGAATTGGATGGCAGGTGTGCTGAAGAATGAAAGGTTCTGGGGGAGCTGAAGTGAGACGGTCCACTATGTCACACGCTCTCGGCCCGAAGGTGTCTGTTACACTGAATATTAAGATTAAACCGAATGCTGTTGTGCTTTAGAAGCAGAACAGAGAAGAACATCCATTGGTGATTGTTTTCCTTCAAGGTGGAGGCTGGGTGTGTCCATCAGCTTCCTTTTCCCTTCCTCGAGTAGTTTGCCTTCACTGTAGCCAATCAAGAGCTATAGAGTCCCAGGGCCGGACTCCTTTGAATTCTCTTATTCTGTAATAATGCATTCATGACTCATTATTATTCTTTTGGAAAAAAAGTTCCAGGAAGAACAAACAAATTGTCTGACCTCCTTGCCCCTCCCTTCTCTTCTCCCTCTCTCAGTTACTTGACTATCGCATGTCCTTACGGTATTCACTTTCATTTCAGGAACTTCTGAATCACTGCATTGACAAATATTTCTTATGCACTCACTGTGTGCGAAATACCTAAAGGAAGTCACGTGATCTCAAGAATTGGGAAGCCAAAATGCATAATGAGAAGGCCTGTCGCTACCCTTCATGCTCGGCCCCTCCGCACCTGAAGGCCAGAGTGTCTGGGAAAAGCTTCTGGCTTTCTTCAAACCAGAGACGGAGCTTTGCCTTCCGCAGAACACAAGCACTACGGCTGAACTGAGCACAGAGCGCGCCACCGGCTTGCAGGCCACGCGAAAGGTGGGCAGTTATGAACTGGACCGTCAAGCCCCTGCTTGCTCAAGGACCAAGGGTGGAGAATGGCTGTCAGAGGCACTGGGAGCCAGCAGCCTGGGGAGGGGAGGACAGGAGAAGCTGTTGGGGAAAGACCCGCTCTCGAATTCCATAGAGGGAATCTAACAGCCTGGACGGAGGGAAAGATTTCTGCTCTGTCTCACAGAAAGCAAAGGGGCGAGGGAAGGAGGGAGCCAAGGGGGCCTCGGGGCCTGCTTCTGCTACGGACCACATCATACCAGCTGCTCTGGCCTCCTCCGCAGGGCTCCAAATCCTCTGGGGGAGACGCGGAGCCGGGACAGAGAGGGAAAAGCACAGGAGAGAATAAACACAGAGAGTGAATTTCTTGCTGCCCCTGGAGACAACGGTTCCTTTAGGTGACAACAGAGGTTAATATCCTGAGCGGCAAGCCACCGTGCTCTGGGCCCAGAGACACTAGCTCAGAACAAGCTGTTTTAGTGTTTGCTTGTAGATTTTATTGAACTCTTCCCTGAAAAGGCCAATTCATTTCCATTCAGACTCTTAATGCAGCTTTCTTGCAAAGTTCAAGAACTTCTCCTACCACTCTCCACCTAGCCCTGTCTGCGTGCAGATGGCCCCTGCCCCTGCTCCTCAAGTCCCACTAAGGACGCTGGCCTGCCCCGGCCTTCCAGTTCACACACACAGAGACTTTGCAGTCATTCATTCCGCAGAGGGGAAAAATAAGAGCGGTGGCTTTTTCCTGATCCCTCTCCCTCAGCCCCCGCGTCTGCCCTTAACAGGTGGTCACGTCTCTTCTCATTCTTCCGCAGACTAATTAATTTCAAAAGCAGCAACAAAGGCGAGGAAATGTTTCTCAATTCTTATTTTCATCAAGAGGTGAACAAAAATAATCATCTCAGGAGACAAAAAAGTCCTAATGAACACCAGCGAGCAAAAGCGATCAGAGAAAGACAAGGTTGTTTCTCATCTCGTGTCATTAGCAACATCTTGGGGAGAAAATTTGAAATCCGTTCACAACTTCTTGGTCTGGGCAGAAAATACAAATAAAGGGGGGTGACGTGGGACTCTTCTGGGGAAAGTACAATTTCTCACCCCTCAAGAAAACCTAGGTTGGGGGAACCTGAAACACTGACAACTCCATTTCCGGAAAGGCTGACCCTGTTCCGAATGGTCCAAAAAGTGAGCTTACCAGGACCCCCCGAGAACTGTGTATGCCAACTTTCAGAAATACATGAACCTCTGGAAATCAGGCAGTCCTTGAAAATAAGTGGCTTAAAATCTTCAGCCCCTTCCTCAGTAGTCAAGGCCAGTTTCTAAAGTAGCCCCAGGCCTGCAAAGCCCCACATGCAGAAGCTTTGGAACTGCAAAGCCATGTCCAGCTGGGGCCCTGAGCGCCAGCCCGTCCTCCCTGGCCTCGGCTACAAGTGGAAAGGGGATATGGGCCCCGAGGAGAGCCTGGCACTGCCTTCCCCTCACCGCCTGGAGGGAAGTGCCCGGGGCTGGGCTGCCGAGGGCCCCACTAGGGAGAGCGGCCAAACTCAGACCCCGTGACATCACACAGCCCTGGGAGAGTGTTGCAATTCTAACCCTTTGACAGATGATTCAGGGAGAGGGAGGGTGCATGGCCTGGAGAGAAAGTTAAGGGGGGGTGGCATATTTGGGGATGTGAACCCCAAAGAGATGGAATTCTAAGGAAAAAATCTTAAGCCTTTTAATGCACAAGGGATCCAAAGCTATTGCTAGTCCTCTTGTCTTCTGGGAATTATCAAGTGTTTAAAAGATCACAGGATTAAGAATTTGTAAATAAAGTCCTGATAAAGATATTTTACCGACCCACCTCTTTCTGGGTATGTCTCCCCTGGAATAAAGTCCTGTTTTTTCGTCTCATCTCTTGGCTTTCCGTGTCTCCGTCTAGCAAACGAAAACCCAAGGCAGGCAAATCGCTGCTATCCTCATCTCCCCAAAGCAGCCCTCGTTCACTTCACTGTCCTTCTCTTTCGGAATAAAAGTCTGTCATAAATGTTTAATTAAATGGAAGTCTTCCCACTGCTAATGACTAGCCGTATGAAAGGCTTTTCATTTTTCGAAGGAAGTGTGTGTGTGTGTGTGTGTGTGTGCGTGTGCGTGTGTTTAAAACAGTGCCTATTAATTTCCCGATATTGATCCCTGGCTGGGGAAGAGCATATAGCATTCAGCAGAAAGCTGCTCTGCAGAGTATGTTAAAGGCAGCGCTTCGGATTGAGAAAGGGCATCGAATGCCGTATGCGTCAAATAGACCATCGCTCAATGAAGTCACTTAGCTATTCAAAACATGTTCAGCCGTCACTCAACCGTTTGCACCAAGAATGTTGGGAGGGGGGCATGGAATCTGTGTTCTTGCCCAGACGTAACCATTTCCCAAAGAGCAGCTTGTGCTCAGTTTGGGTCAGACCCTGCGGCCACATCCATTTCTCCCTCTCTCCTCAGCTTCCCTCTCTTCTCCATCTCCTGGCCTCAACTCCCTGCATCACCATCCCATGTTGAGCTTCACAAACAATCCTGCAGTCCCAGCTTCCCGACGTTGCCTCAGACGGCCTCCAGTCTTGGTTTCTATCAGAAGCAGAGCACATAAGCCTTCCTCTCTGCACAGAATCACTCGTCTCCCCGTGGCCGTCTCTCTATGGGTAGCTGTGGCTTGGACACACAGACTCACATAGCCGCTCGGATGCAGTCCCTCAGATCCAAGTCTGTTGCTAAATGCAGGTTGTATGACCTGCAGGAGTTTTTTTTTTTTTTCTTCTTTTCTGTGCTTATTGATGTGTCACCTGCAGGAGTTTTTTTTTTTTTTTTCTTTTCTGTGCTTATTGATGTGTCCCAGAAGCACATGCCTTCATGCACACCCTGATCTCCCAGCCTTTATACCGTGGGGGCTCCTTTGCCCACAGCACACACACACACACACACACACACACACGCCTCAACGACCCTGCAAGATCAAGGCAAACAGCTGACACCCCCGCCCCACGGCTCCCCTGTTCCCCCCTCAACCTCCCCATGCCCTCGCCTCCCTCCCTGCCTGCCTGCCTGCCTGCACAACGTCTGATTCCCGAGCTGGCTGCAATGCTGACTCGACTCGCTTCTGGGTAACAGACATGTCACTCCGCGTGCAAGCGAATCGGCTCTCAGCCTAACCTGCAAGTGAATTGCTGTTTATTAGAACTTGAGCTTGTTTCCTGTGAGAGACGTATGTATTTTTAGACTTTGTAAACGTTAAAACACACACATACACATGCAGCCCGCCGCCTCGAACAGTATATGTGGCTCACAGACATTACGAAATGCTCTTGAACTCAGCTTGAGACTCTGAATAATTAGGATTTACCAAATAGGGATTCTTAGAAGACACAGGTTTTTCTGGTTTTGTTTTTTTTGTTTTTTTTTTTTCCAATCAAAGGAGATTTGCCCCTTCTCGTAGATGGGAAATAGATGCTCCATTGAATGGCAAATCCTAATGATTCAGAAACAGGCAGAGCCCATTGGACTTTTGAAGACAATCTCTTGTTGTTTTCATCATATCACAGATTATTCCAATGAAGAGGTGGGGGGGGGAGTGGAGGAGAGGGAGTAGAGTATGGCTTTTAAATTGATCTTCCTTTCTTGGAAACTAACCCAACCAACCTTGATCTGTGGTAGAAGGAGTGAAGTAAGAAAATGGTGGAATGTAAAGGGACTTATTTGGAGGAGGGTGGGGAGGGGGAGTGAGGAGGGGAGGGGTGGGGTGGAGAGGGGGGAGGAGATGGAAATCAAATACCTTCTAGGCAGCAGGTTCTCCATAATCCAGAATGGGTCATAACTTCTTCGTTCTTTTTGCTGGTTTCATTCTCGCTGACACTTTTGGTCTTGCAAACCCCTCTGGAGTAGAGCCAGTAATCAGTCCCCACAGCTATGGTCATCAGACTGAAGGCAGCAAAAGCACCAACGGTGGTTAAAAGCATTTGAACACCTCGATCAAACAGCCCCATAATTCTTCATTATATAAACACCCAGCCGACTTCTGGTTCTCGGGAGTGTGTGTGTGAGGGTGCAAGTACTAAAGCAAAAATAAAAATAAAAATAATCCCACTACTAATATAATGGATATATGTGTGATTTGAGAATATGGAGAGATATAAAAAAGGGAGATAAGTAAACTCACGGAAAAGAGTGTAAATTATAAAGATCACACGGGAAGAGAGGCTTGCCTTTTGAGATCAGAAACTGTTCCAGTTGCAGTAATTTTGTTTAAAAAAAAAAGGAAAAAATAAATAAAAAGACACCCCCCACCCCCCCAAGTGAGATGCCTTAATCTCTTTTCCTAAAATTCTGGTCTCCAGTTTCCATATGTGATAGCTAATTTGGAGATGGCTTCCACAGTGAACCAGGGAACAGCCGAATTCTCAACACCATCTCTCATGGTCCGGACCTAGACAGTTAGAGATTGTAAGAGCCGAGATGCAACCTTCGGTCTTCGTTCTCGGCTCTGCGGCCTGCGCCATGAAAATCCTTTGCTCCGCCAGTTCGCTTCCTTGGGGGGGTCTCGGCGCTTTCGTTTCAGACCAGACTTCCCAGTATTCTGTAAGCCCTTGATCTCAGCTGCACAGGTGCGGGGGTCTCGCCTTCCATGGTTCTGCCCTGGC